CTTTTATACATACATATGTGTCTCCGGTGTGTCAGGGAACTCACAAAGTGTCAGAAAATAAAACCCTCTCTCTTTTCCTCCATACCCACATCTCTAAAAACAGGGGTATTTAGAACATGATTATTTTTTATTTGGAGTCTAAACCTTACATATAAAAATTGTAAAAGGTTACAATTACATTCATTTCTACGGTATTTTACACATTTGATCATAAGATCAAACATCACAATCATCTTTTATTAAACGTCACAGTGCCTTCTCATTAAAATTACAGATTAAAAAATATATTGTTTGTGGTGTGAGTGACAATTGTACAAAATAAATGCAATATCATTTTTCTTTGTTATTTGAAGGAAATTAATAGGTTAAAGATATAGCGTATATCCTGCCAGAATAATCTAGAAAAAGTGATGCAATATATGCTGAATATCAAAAGGTAACAACACCCTTGAAATCTTGCTTATTAACATTTTTTATCTTGTTTGTTTAATCTTAAAAATATTATTTTCTCCAGTGCAGATATCAGGTAAAACTGCTGGTAAAATCTACGATTCTGTAATGTGTTAAAAAGTTACATTTATAAAGTGCTGGTGCTTGGAATGTGTTACCTTTAGGCAGAGTAAGGCAACGTGTGTCACCCTATTTGAAAGAAAGTTATGTAGATAGCACGTGGTAAATGATTTACATTGATCGTACGGATTCATCGTACAATCCCTTCTAACACAGTTCACAATCAACATATTTTAAGTTTAGCTTATGGAAACTTATACAAAAATACTATGATTGGTCCATTTACTTTGACAGCACAAACACCACCGTTTAGAGTGCCAACTAACTGCTAGAATGCAAGCATATTTTCCAAAATGCAAAGAATTACTGCTTTTAAAGCCTCATAAAAGAAATGTTGCCATGGAGTTTATTATGAACTATATGACATGCTGTTACATTTAATTAAGCTTCAAGAGGTCAACAAACCAAACGCCCTTGGAGTTGGGGAATTTTATTACGGATTAATCATTTAAAGATACATTCAGAACACAGCATTTCATTTTTAGAATATTTGACTTTCTTGAGTGTATACAGACATTTTCCAATCAATTTATACTTCTTTACTAACTTTATTTTATAAACTATTCATTCATTTGAAATCATTTTGAAATATATTTATTCAGCAAAATGTACATCCTTTGTTTCCTTGAAAGTTAACTTTGAAAAAAAAATCATATCCATGTCATAAAATATATTGAATTGGCAGCTGTAGTGTAAAGACACATACTGTATTAACAATTACATGTATGTTGCATATCTACTTTGATAAAAATGTCTAAATTAAATTGTAAACAAACCCAACATAAGCTGTTTTGTGTGGAATCAAAAAGTGTACATACATTAATTTATTACATATTCCAACTTTGTGTGTTACATCATGTACCGCATTCACGCTTTACCCGAGCAAATCATCCATCCAGTTACTATTTGCTTTCTGCTGTTTGCTCAGTGCTGCTGTTGTCAGACACTAAGAGACTGTCCACAAATAAATTCACATCACTGGGCTCAGACACTGCCAGCAGCTTTGGTTCTGATGCGAATATGTCATCAGCAAAAAGACCTGTAGGAGCTGAAGGAGGGGCGACAGAAGCCGAATCTGAACCAAACCAATCGTAAAGTGAGTTAGAAGTAGCTGGGGTGGATGGCAGCACTGTCAACACATCACTGCTTCCAAATATGTCATCTGGAAAGGCAGTCGGTTGGTTTGAAGAACTATCTGCTCCTCCTTGATGAGGCATATTAACAGTAGGTGGCTGAGTGAACAGAGCGTTGTTTGAACTGAATATGTCAAAGTCTGCCTCCTGATCTTCTCTCTGGCTGTTTGTAGTGAAATGACTTTGATCCTCTTCTTGGTTCACAGGTGCTGAAGCTGGGACGATCAGTTGATCTGTAAGGCCAAGGATCAGGTCATTCTGAGGCAGTATTGGGTGATTGTCAAGCAGGCTGAAAGTATCAGTGAGAGCAACTTCCAGCAAAGCTGTGTCACTCAAAGAAGATACAAAGGCATCACTGGTGATGTTGACAAGATCAAAAAGATTAGGGGAATCGGTCGCAAGTTCCTGGTTGAGATTAAGGATCACTCCATCGCCTCTTACGCCTTCGTCGAGCAGTTCATTTGATCTTTGAGCAGATTCCTCAGTATTTACCTGAATTACCAATGCATCAACCGGTGCTGAACTGATACTGTCCCCAAAAAAGTCATAATTGAATGGAGCATCACCTTTTTTCCCTGGTAATGACTGTTTGATTGACTCCTCCGATGCTAGGCTTACTGATTCTACTGTATGATGGAGATCTTTAGACTCAGTTTCAGGGTAGGTTACAGACATGCTTTGTAAATGTAATTCCTGATCATTAGTTTGCTCTGGAGCTGTTAGGTCCTCTACTGTTTCACTTGTTGAAGTCGACGGCTCTATTGATTTGCTTCCAGCCTCATTTAGGTTACTCTCCGTTGTGTTTTGCTCAGGAAAATCTGACTTTTCCTTCAAAAGATCTCCAGGCTCTTGTTCTTGAAGTGGTTCTTCAGACATGCCGCCCTCCTTTTGCTTTTCTTCTGTAAGGACTTCCCTTAACTCCTCTCTCTTTTTGTCATCATCAGTAGTTTTGTCATTTCTTTCATTTCGCACAGCTAATTTTGTGGGATCCTCAGCTTTCTCAGAAGATGACTGAAAAAGTCTTCCTAAGAGTCCACCACTAGGTTTGACATCTGTTTTTTTGGCCTCTTTTGGTTCAACTTTGTTTGTTTTGTCACTTCCACCTGAGGTGAAGAGCTTTGACATAGGACTCTTTCCTTTCGACCAGGATCCCAGTCTCACTTTTGTCTTTTCAGTCTGTTTTGAAAAACCTTTCAGAGAATTTGTTCTTGCAACAGGCGTCTTTGGAATACTTCCAGTTTCTTGGTCATTGCCTGACTCCATCTTTTGAATTTGCTCTGTATTCCCCTTAAGGCTGGCCTCCTGTCCACTCATAAGTCCTGCTGGGCTTTGCAGAGTTATTGGACTTTCTGAATCACATGGGTTTTCTGGATTGACTTGGCACATCTCAGATGGCTCTTTGTGTTTCAAAACTTCTTGAGCTGAATTAAAAGTTTCAGTGAAACTCTGAGAATCAAGTGGTTCCTCAACCTTGTCTACAACTCCATTCAAAACAGTTGTATCAGTCTCTGGGATCTCTTGACTGCTCTCCACTTTAACATCAGGCTCTTGGTTTGATGTATTCTGTGTTATTCCATGGCTGTTATATTCATGGCTTTCAAAGTACACCTCACTGTGGCTCTGTTCTTTGCTCAACTCAAATGACAAATGGTGTAAGTTACTATTATCCCCTACATATTGGATATCCTCATATTCATCCACTTTGTTCTGTTCTGTTTGGTCTGGAAGATGCATACTATGGCCTTCACATTTGGCTCCAGTGGTCAGTTGCAAGGACAGGTCATACTGAGCAACATCAACATTTGAAGCAAACCGTACAGACTTCTTAGCTTTATTTGGATAAACATCTGGTCTGGAAGACGTTGGATTGAAGTTTGTTTTGGAGGTCAGTGCCACATTTTTCTGTGCAGTTTTCATGTTTGTCACAGTGCTACCCTTTTCTTTGTGGGGTGAAGAAAAGTTGAGCACTCTCGGAGAGATGCTGTCATTGGTTTGATCACTCCTGGATTTTGTTTTCCCTGGAGGAAACTTCTCAGCTGAGTTATGACCAGTTGTTTTAGATCGTTCCTTGACTCCTGAAATGATGGAACTTGACAGTGCCTTTGCTTTATCATGTATTTCCCCACCATGGTTGATCTTTAATTGGTTGTTGTCACTTTTTTGTTGCTCTGAAGTAAGTGCTTTGCCAATGTCAGATGTCTTGTTTTTTACATATGATAACTGTGCTGGATTAACTCCAGGTCTCTTCTTCTCTGGTGGCCAGCTTCTTTTCAGTTTGCCATTAACATCAGCACTGCTATTACATCCTATGTCTCTTGCAGACCTTTTCACACTATCAGTGGATTCTCTGGAGTCATTGGACATGTTTGAACTGTTTTTTTTTATTTTAGGAGTGGGCCGATTGTCTGTCTCTTCTATTTCTTTATTTTTCTGAAGCCAGCGGTCTTTGTGTTGCTTATGCCCAAATCCCTCATCATAATTTCCTGATCTTTTAAAAAGCTGTTGGTAGTGAGCAATGCAGTAGCACTCCCCATAAAGAGAAGAATAGTTGTGGATGCTGCAATAAAGTAAAACAATGCATTTTTAATATAAAACTAAACTTTAATTTAGATATTGTTTTATTTGTCATGATTTGTTATTCATTATATCTGTTAATCAGCTGTGAATTATTTCAATTCATTGGAGATTTGCAATAATCAAAATGTCATTTTTAAATCCTCTTAAAATGTGTTTTTCCATTAACATTAGAATTTACATTCTAGTGATTTATATTATTGATTGTGGTGAATGTCTTTTTGATTTGAGTCCTTTTACTTTGAAAAATATCTCACCTGAGCTTCTTCTTACAGTGTTTACAGCAGAAACAGTTGTTGTGTAGGATAAGTTTATTGGCCACCATTTTTTCCATTGGATAGACAGGTGTCAAACAGGCAGAGCATGTATCCTTGGCAGGTGACCCGAACTATGGTGATAAAACAAATTCAGTTCAAGGTATGTAAAACATTTCATTAAAGCCTTTCTGTCTATTGTAATGATTTGATAATGTCAATGATAATGTCGTTTAAAAATATGTGTTGTTAAGCAGCGAAATATGAGGGCAGTATGAATGTTATTTTCTAACTCTGCCAAAAAGCAAAGTGTATTTCCCAACATTTTGAACTTTTCTTTTAAGTAAACTTAATTATTTCTAAAGCTAGCGTCATTAAGATGTATAAGGAAGTGAACATTTTGTGATATGATGATTTTCTATATCTAATAAACTTTGAGTTTTAAAGAACAATAATTAGAGACCAGTCATTTTCACAATCACATATTTTAAAATCGTTTTTATTTGACAATTTACACAACAGAATATACAGCATCAACTATGCTTAGCTTTAATACAAGAACTTAACACTTTACCATGTGGTTACAGTATAAAATCTATAAAACAAATTTGTATTAAATGTCAACATTTCCATAATTTAATAATATCAATTTTATGACCGACAAAACCTTTTCAGAAATTGTAATAAATACACAAATGAATAAACTGCTTTCCTAAAATGTAATTCAGGAAACTCTTTTTGTCCTAATTAGAGCTTTTCTTTTGGTTGGCTAAATGTTACAAACACAGTCCCTTCATTGTTAGCAGTGCTCAACACTTTCTCTTCAAAAGGGCGAGCAGATCTTCGAATTAATGGGGATGTCATGACTTCGTATTTTGTTGGATTCCCCACTACTTCAAACAGTGCCGATGGTTTGCTTTCAGACTGTTTGGTGACAAATGTGGAAGTCACAGATGAAACAAATACATTGCCAAAGCCATCGGTCTCTTCGTATGTTTCACTGACTGTCTTTGTACCAACTATTCCTGCGGGTTGCTCTGGAACAGTTTTCACCTCGAGCACACTGACCTTGCGTTGTGCCGGGCCGTGACCATTCTTTAACGGTACAGCAAACTCATGTCCACGATCGCTATTTGCGTTATGACAACTTTCAGAATCACCCTTTGGTTTAAATGTTGACATAGGTGGCTTTGGTTGTTCGACAGGCTTTCTGGCAGCTGAGTGAATTGAGATGAATGATGGGGAAGACTGGGATGAGGACTGTCTGATGAGTGGCCTGTTGTGGACTTGTCTGCGCACTTCTTGTTTGGAACGATTTGAGTCCGAGTAGGTTTGCATATTCCCCACAGATGCCTCTTTGATTTCACTTGATTTGACCTTGCTTGAGCCAATGCTGATTTTCCTGATGTTGTTGGCAGGATGAAAGCTTTGCTCAGTTTTTAAAGATTCATCAAATAGTCCTGACAACCCTGCGATGTCAGCCTCAGATTTCAGGTTGGAAACGGAGTACAAAGCCTTTTTAATGGTCTCTTCAATGTCAATAAGTTTTGCTAATGTTTCTTCCTTCAGATTCATTATTTCCTTGCTTGCCTTTTCCAGATCTTCAAATGCTGTCTCAACTGAGGAGATGCTTTCTAGATCATCATCCTGTGTCTCTACTTCAACCTTCTTTTCTCCAGTTTTACTTTGTTTTGCATTTCCACCTTGTGTAACCATCCACGCAGGGACAGTCTCATATAACGTCTCTCCCTCCATCTCTTGCACTTGAGAAAGGATTCCTTTGAGTTCCTCTCGTTTCCTCAAATTTTCAAAGATTTCACTAGCCGCTTTCTCATTTCCCTTCATGATCTCTTCCTTGTGGACAGAAAGCCTTTGTCGTCTTTGGTCGTCTGTCTCCCTTCCTTTCTTTTCTCTTAAAACAACTTTATCTTCAATTTTGTGTGGCTTTTCGTTTTGCAGTACGTGGCATGTCTTGGTCTTTGATGTTTGCTGCGCGTCATCAGTGTTGCGTTCATCTTTGGGATGTGATTGGTGTTGCTGAGCTGTGGTATTGTTGGTTTGCTTATGGTCACTATCACTATCATGTATCACTCTTACTCTCTTCGACAACAAAGGGACTCTATTCTCTTGAGTCTCACTCTTTTTTCTTTCGAAGTTATGTAGAGCAGCCTGCAAGCTCATGTTCATTTCATGTTTACCTTCTTCTGCATAATTCTTCATGCACATTTGTATCTCCTCAGCTGCATTGATTTTCTGTATTACATTTCTGTCCATCTCCATTTCAGTGCTGTTCAACCTCACGACGAGGCCTTCTGATTTGCTTCCTGTAAGTATTTTCTTTTGCTTCTTATTTTCCTGAACCTTTGAGTGGGTTGGTAGACTTTCTTGTATTTTATTTGAGTCATGGAATGCTTCAATACAGTTTTGGTGTGATGTTTCATGTAAGGCCTCTTTACTGGTTTGACCATGTGTTATGTTTTCCAAAAGTTTATCTGGACAAGGCTTGGGAAAGCTTTTATTTGGTTTTGGAAAGATGTCTGCGCGTTCTATGTTGTCTGTAATGGTGCAAGGGACGTTGGGAGCAGCTAAAATATTCTCATCTTCTACAACTACAGATTTGATCCATTGTGGCTTTGGTGGTAAAGCTGGCTTCTGCTCCTGCAGTTTCTCACTTGTCTTTTGAGGGAGTGGAGGTGGAGCTTCACACACAGAGCTGGAGGATCTAGAGTTTCCATTTGCTACAGGGTGGGTCGTTGAATTCTGTGTTGTTAGCGATGGTTGTCCTTCACAGGTTACTGAAATTGAAGGAGACAGTTTTGTGTCAGATGGAGGCACAGACACCACAACACACTGCTGGTGAACAGTCTTGCTCCTCCCTGAACAAGCCTTTCCTGAATTCCTGTATATCATTGCAGCTTTATAGTCTCCTTTGGATACATTTACACTAGACTTCTCAAGAGATTGCAGAGCAAATTGGACATTACCTCTTACAATATCTTCTTTATCTAGTAGCTTCAGCTCTGTTGCTGCACTCTGCAGAGACCTAATAGCTGCCCTCACATCTCCTCTGAATTCTTCTGTCTCATTTTCTGTTGTCTGAACATTAGGCTCACAACCTACAAAAGGTGGCAGTGATTCTGGTGCACATTTACTGATTATAACTGCACTTTGTTGACAAGCCTCAAAGGAAACATGGCTTTCCTGATCTTTCTCAACACTGACCTTTGGATAAGTCTTGGTTTGCTGGCTTCTGGAGGTAGACGAACATGCAGATTGCATCACTGTGGAGGAGCTTTCCTCTTGTGCTGTGACATTCAGGTTGTATATTTTTCCAGGGACAATGACTTCACGCTCCAGATGCAGGCTTTGCTGCTTAGCGAACTCAAGAGACTTTTTGGCTGCTTTCACATCTCCGGCTAGAATAACTTCTTTTTGGGCTTGACGTCCTTCTATTTCAGGACCTGACAAGTTCATGTCATAGATAGTTCCAGGTTTAACAATCTCCCGCTCCACACACATGCTCTGTTTCTTTGCACGTTCTAATGACTGCATTGTTGCCTTGATGTCGCCAGCCACAATGTCCTCTTTTTCCACCACGGCATGTTGCATCAAAGCAAGTTGTTGCTTTGCTGATAAGATATCCCCAGGGATTATTTCTTCTTTTGGATGGTAGTTTTCAACACCGAGAGGGCACTCCGTCAAAAACACTTTTTTGGTGTTCTTTACATCCCCTGGCAAAACATCAGAAATGGTTCGTTCCACCTGCTCTTTTTGTTGACAGAGGTTTCTCATTGCTTCCTTTACATCCCCCTGAACTATTTCAAGGGGCTCCTCAGACAGATGGCAGTGATCAACTTCATCTCCTATTGCCTCAGTGTGAAGACTTTTCAGATAGTTCAGATCTCCTTTCTCAATGCAACTTTTGTACAGATTGACATTTCCCTTTTCATTTTCATCCACCCTACACGACACTGCAGTCCTCTGACTATTGGCCGTAGCTAATAGATTTCCGATCGTAGACCTAACGTCTCCCTTCTCAATAACGTGACTCTCAGTTTTGGTTTCAGAATTGCAGATGAGTGAATAAACTGACATCTCTGCTTGCCCCCCTGCAGTCTCTTGCATGATGATTCCATTTTTCAAATCCTTATCTTCGGAAAGGAATTCATCGATCATCTGGACAATGTTTTGTATTCTTGTATCCCTCTCGAGGTTGATAGTTGTGGATGAGTGGTAGACTGGAAGTTCTACGACTGTGGTATTCACTTTACCCTTCTCCACTTCTCTAAGAAGACTAACTTGGGGCTTCAGAGTTGGTTTGAGCAGAAGCTGTGACATGATGTTCCTGATGTTACCACCAACAACCTCTTCTTTCTGGATTTGCACACCTTTATTGCTTTCAAGCTGATATTTTGCCATGTTAACATTTCTGCTTTCATTTGCTTCTATTATGATGCCACTTGAATGAACAAAAGTCATTTGGTAAAGATAGGACAGGGTGTCAGCAATACTGTTGGCAGTGATTTTGTCCAGTGGAGTTGTCTCGAAGAGCCAGGTTGTGCACTTAACATCAGATTTTGGCATTTCCTCCTCAGTACCTTGCACTGAAGTATCCTCAGGCTCCTTGATCTTGTCCAGTGGCTGTGATTCAAACAGCCACGTGCAGCGTTTAACATCCCCTTTCTGGCTGTCTTCCCTGTGTACTGCTTGTACTGGACCTTGCTCCTGAAGTTCTCCTTTCAGACTGTCAATGGTTTGATTCTCAAAGAGCCAGGTGGAGGTTCTGACATCGCCCTGCTGGACGTCAGTGACACTAACCATTCGCGTGAACTTCTGGCATGACTTCTCAGATTCAAATATCTCTTTATTTAGCTGCACATTATTGCTCCCAAAGTCTTCAATAACCCTCACAGAGGGCTCATCTCGGCTGGTAAGTGAGTCCAAAGGTTGTGTCTCAAACTTCCATCTTGCGGATTTGACATCTCCTTTCTTGACATCTTCTTGTGTAACAGCTCGGATCACGTAAACCTCCTTCTCTGCCTTGATAGCGTCAAGGGGTTTTGTCTCAAACATCCACCTTGCTCCTCTTACATCACCACTCATTACCTCCTCTTTTTTCACAGTTGTTACTTCATGAAACTGGCCTTCTTTGTCCCTGATCGCATACAGTGGCAGGGACTCAAACAGCATGGTGCTTGACTTCACATCAACATTGCTTGGAGGCTCTTCCGCAGAGTCGGACATCAGTTCAAGGGGTTGGTTGTGGATTTTGTCCAGTGAGGAGGTTTCAAATATAAACCTTTTGTTCTGTACATCCCCACCTTCTACAGTGCTGACTCTCCGAATGCTTCCATCCTCATTGTCCTCATTCATCTGGTTCATTGGACAGTTTTCAAACATCCAAGTACATTTGTGTACAGAACCTTTTTCGAGGTGTTCATCTTGGTTCTGTTCATTCGATGTCACCATTACTGATCCTATTTCATCAATGGACTGGGATTCAAACAGTTCTTTGACTCGTGAGACATCTCCAGACTGAAAGTTGACCTGGCTGACACGTCTCTCATTGTGCTCAGAATTTGCATCCTTTCTAATGCTATCCAACGGTTCAGTTTCAAACACATGTTTGACTGTTTGAACACCAACTTCAGATTTAACAGAATCCTTTATGGTGTTGCATAGTTTCAAGTTGTACTCTTCGCCATCTTTAATGCTTTCTAGAGGCTGTGATTCAAAAAGCCAAGTAATGGACTTGACGTTGGTTTTGTCAATGGCTTCTTTAGCATTTACTTGTTCAGCTTTGTCATACAAAATGTCCATTGGTTGGGTCTCAAATAACCAAGTACATTTCTTGACATCACCTTTTCGAGGTTCCTCTTCTCCAGATGCATCCTGCTCTTTCTGGTTGAACTTAGAATGGATCCCATCTATTGTTTGGGTTTCAAAAAGCCACTTCGCCATATTGACATCGGCCATCATATCTTCCTGTCTGGTGATGCCTTTTATCACCTCTACATTTCCTTTTCCCTCTGCAAGCTTGTCTAAAGGCTTGGTCTCAAACATCCATTTATAGTTTTGGACCTTCCCTTTGATTAATTCTTCTCTGCTTACTGTCGTGACTGTATGGAGGTTTCCAGAGCTGTCCTTTATTGCATACAAAGGTGTTGTCTCAAACATTGCTTTGTTATCTTTTACGTTTCCCGCTGCAATAGATTTTTCCTCCTCAATTATTTCTTCATCAGAATGAGCAATTTTGCTCAGAGGAATTGTTTCAAAAAGATTTTTGAATCCCTTCACATCGCCCTTTTCAATCTCTTGTTCCTTGGATTGGGTGTTCTTTTGAGTACTACATCCCTCAAACATCTGTTTTTTGCCTTTGACTTCACCTTGTTCTTCAGCTGAAAGAGTAACTTTCTTCAAACGGCCAACTTCGTAGCTATCATTAAGGGTCTCCATGGGTTGAGTTTCAAACAGCCACATAGAAGTCTTGACATCACCTGCAATCATTTCTTCTTTTTCCAAAGGCTTTTCTTCAGAATCTCCTTTCAGCGCTGCCAAGGGCTGCATCTCAAAGAGCTTCCTCTTGCTTAGGACATCGGCCTCTCCTGTGCTTTCATCCACCGTTCCTTCAAACATGTCTTCGCCAATGACCTCTTGTATTGTGTCAAATGACTGAGTTTCAAACATCCACCTCTTCTGATCAACTCCTCCTCGATTTCCCTCTTCCAGAGATATACCCCGAATTATTTTAACCCCATCAGTTCCCTTATTAATGAGACCCAATGGCTGGGTTTCAAAAAGCCAGCGGGCAGTGCTGATGTTGCTGCTGTTGATCTCCTCCCTGCAGATGGATTTAATCTCATGCATATTGCCTCTGTTGTCTTTGATGGCACAGCAAGGTTCTGCCTGGAAGAGTTTGACAGTCTTCTGGACATCTCCTTTTTGCTCCTGAAGCTCAGATCTCAATTTTAGGAAGCTATAGTCTTCTATGGAGTTGCAGCGTCCCAAGGTACTCAATGGTTTAGACTCAAAAAGCAGCCGTGCCCCTGTCACGTCTCCTGGCTGGATTGAATCTTTTAGCACTGCTTCGACCAGTTCACCTTCTTCTCTTTTTAATTTATTTAGAGAATCTAAGGGTTGGGACTCAAACAGCCACGTTGATGTTCTAACATCACCTCTGACAGAAGTCTGTCTTTTAGCAGACATTTGTTGGGTGCTGTCAATGTGCTCAAACATGGAGGAGGTGCCCCTGACGTTTCCACCTGTTAACTCCTCATCATCCAGCAGCTTCTTGGTTTCATGAGGATGATCCCCAATATTGTCCAGAGTCCAGTTCTCAAAGATCCACCTCATGGACTGCACTTCACATTGATAAGCTGCATCCGCTGCCTGAGTGTTTTCTTGCTGCACTGCCTTCATTATCTCATCGTCATCTACGTCATCAAGACTTGCCCTTAGGTCTGGGTGTATGTGTTTGAAGAGCCTCTTTAGCTCACTCTTCTGCCGTTGTTGTTGGATCGAGGAAAAGCTTTCTTTGGGTGGAGGCGGAGGGAGATTACTGAAGGCGGAAGGCCCTTCATAGTCAATGGGTCTAGGTGGTACGGGAGGAGGTGGTGGGAGAGGCAGGTTGTCTTCATCATGAGCTGATTGGGAAACTGTGATTTTCCTGGCTGGTTCAGCCATCTTTAAATGAAAGACAGATGGGAGTAAAATGGTCAGGTTTCAGTAATCAAACAGATTATTTTTTAAGATATGTGCAAATATGAGAATGACATGCATTTTAACAAAGTGAAGCCATACTTTACCTTTGTCTTGCTCACTTGATGTGTTTCACAGCAAACCATCCTCTGTCACACCAGGCTTCAACACTTCATAGCTGTTAGTAAGCGGACATCACACAGGCACCCAGTCTATACTGTAAGGGCACTAAGTTACATTAGTAACTAAATGTCTGCCTTGACTAATATAATTCTTGAATAATATTTATTTTAGCCACTAAATGCTCCACCATATTCACTAGCTGGTTGCTCATTTTGTTTGTTCGGTGCGAAACAGATACTGTACAGTGGGCTTTTAGAGCTTTCTTAAAGAAATGTGCCGTCGGCTGCCGAAAAAAAAACACACTGGCGAGAAGAGTGCAACTGAATCAAAATAGTAAATTGGGTCTTCAAAACCCAAACTATGAGCTATAGGGTACACTTAGAGTTGGGTTATAGATACTTGTGGGTTTTTCAACATGAGCAGCAGCTTTAAGAATGTTCATATTATGTGTGGGAATTATTTGTATTTTTTTATTTTTAATCCAGTGAGTATGGAAACATTAGAAAATGTGTTACTGTCCAAAAATGGTAATTATTATTTCGGTATTTTACTGCGGTATTCTTCCATAGTAATTTATCAAGATTGAATATGTTACACTTATTTGTGTAGCACGTTGAGATTTAGAATATTTAGTTTTAGAAGAAATCTAAAAAATCTAAATACTAATGTTGGTCTGCTATTGGTGTTAACAAAAGGTAGAAAAACCGGAAAAACATTACGTGTCATTGTCTGTTTTTAAGGGAAAATAAATTGTTAATGAACAAAAAGCAGTTAAGTTGTATTGAATGGCTTTTTCCTAACTCATGCCATTATATGATATTATTATGTTGCTTCTTAAAGGTGGGGTAGGTAAGTTTGAGAAACCGGCTCGAGATACACTTTTTGTTATATTCCATGGAATGCTCTTAACATCCCGATAGCAATGAATATCTTAAGTGCTTTGACAAAAAATCCATTAAAAAAATTCATCTGTGGAAGCCGTAATACTGTAAAAAGCACGACCAATCATTTTAGCCGGCCCGGCTAAAATAACTGGATGGCCTACCTACCTGCCTGTCAGCCTTCCATCTGTGCACAAACTTATCTCGTGTGGCAGATTTTTTCCAGCTGTGTATTTTCAAATTCTAGCGCACTCAAGCTGGTTTCTCCAAAATTACCTACCCCACCTTTAAGTTGTTGAAAGTTGATCAAAGGATAACTGTGTTTTGGTTATTTTCAAGCAAAATAAGAGTCATTTTCACAGCACACATATTAGCAGCACCCTCACACTGCAGTAGAGAAAGGTGAGTGAACTATACAGTACCTTGCTGTTTTTAGCTCTTGTTCCTGAAGTACTGACAATTTCCTATTGAACAGAAAAAAAGAGTAATTTTGATCAGCATATGAGTTAGTTCATTTATTTTATGTAAAAGTTGTTGCAGTGCTTCACGTGTGCTTTCATTGGGGCTGAGCATTGTGGTTATTCTCTATTGAAGCCCTTGACCTCCGTGTGTGGGGAGGAATGAGAGGCATTTCAGGAACTCACTGGCTGTGCTGAGCCTCCTGTGGAGTCGATAGCTGCTGCTCTTGACAGATAGAGAGCTGATCTGTCTCTCACCGAGGAGGAAGTAGATATCCTGTGTCTGCTTTGTCTTGTTGGCGTCTCCCCTTTAGTCAGTGATGGACTATATTTATCCTCTGCAAAATCAATAAACAAATAATTAAAATATAAGATACCATGTTAAGTAAAATAACCTTGGGAAAGTATCTGTCCTGCTTGTTTAGATGTGTTGACACGTTTTCCAGAACAAGTGTGAAGTGTGTATAGTGCCAGCGACAAGTTTAATGATAACAATGTGTGGGTGTATTTTTAGTGGTGGAGGGAGCTATCTTATCACTGTTACAACTCACTGTTAACTTGTGGCAAACAGTAAACAGCATCCAGTGATTTTGAGTAGCTTGGCGGACTTATGAGTTAAATGTGACATTGTAACAAACAAATGCTTTTACGAAGATTTTGAACCCATAGGGGACATGACAAATAGGCCCACACAGCCAGCCTGCTGCCTGCCAAAACAGCAACTGCTAGCTCAGCTGGAGTGACACGGATTGTTTTCACATTGTTTGTGTGAGCTCTCTGCCATCAAACCATCAACACCTGACCAAAGGAATGTGCCTGCCTGACCCCATGAAAAACATGGAAAATACCTACGAAGCTTGATGTGTGTTAGTTCACCTGGTTGTTTTACTCTGTGGTAAAGAATATGGTAGGTATGTTGAATTCAGAAAGTATTTCAACAACAACAGCACTGCAAACAATATGACCAGAGGTCAGCCCAGAGTGCTGCTCAGGCCATCCGGCTGTGACTAATGTTCAGATTTGAACACACCTCCCCTTTTCAAACGCTAAGCCCCAACAGGACAAAAGGATGGAACAGCAAGCTGGCGACTCTCACGAGTCCGGACTTAAACTATTTTCATAGATGGGTGAGCAGACAGAATGAGCGCCATGCGTGCCCAGTTAAAGTCCTAACCCAATCAGCTGAGAGGTCAACTTATCATTACTCATACACTGGCATCAATATCTGCCGAAAATACAACGTCCAGTTGTTACCAATCAAAGTGACTTCTTTGACGTCTAACACCTTTCTCCGTGATTCCCAACCTGACATCTCTTTGATCTGATTCTCCAGGAATGAAGAGGAGCTATTAGCGGCACAGCAATGTAGGGGGTGTTTTGGGCCGCTGGCAGCTGTACAAATGGTGGTGAAATGCAGTTGCTATTTGTTCTTCACTTCCACCACCTTCACCACCGTCAGCTGTTGGCGATTGTAGCCACATTCACAGACTGTAATGAAAACCTGCGTGCCAAAAGGCGGCTCATACAGGAGGGCCCCACACAGCACATCGCACCACTGTGTGTTACACCTGATAATGCAACATTATATTGAATTTCCTTATTACTTTTATGGCAGATATGCTGCTTCTCATTGTATAGTTCACCCTGACTGATGATAGAAAGAAGGAAAGCTGACAACTGCAAGTTCCTGTTGTCTGACCTCCCATTCCAAGCATTTCTAAGGAAAAGGGCTGGAAATATATAGCCACTCAAGACTAAATGAAGATGCCAGCAATGCACTTACAATACATCAATCTGTGACCTTATTTAGCTCTGATATCACTTATAAGGAAATCACCATAAACAATAAGTATTCAGAATGCCAAAGGCGTTTTAAAATCAAATTTGGTAACTGTAATTAATTTAATTTAAGCTTTTACCCTTTTAATGAATCTGTTAAAAGTAAATGTTCCTCAGTGACCTATCATCAACAGACAATATTCAACTTAAACTTAATCTTGTCAATGAACTGAAAAAACATGAAGAGCATCCACCACACTCCATATTTTTCCCAGACCAACAACATCCGACAGAACAAAGCTTTCTCCGTCACTATTATACAGTATATTTCACATTAGCAACACAATCACTCAGTTTCAATCAAGTCAATACTCATGATACTCACTAAAATACTATCCAGCGTGGTTCTGTGTCTCTTCCCTGTATCTCTGGGTGAGCTGGATAACTCTTAAGGCCCTGTTATATGTGATACAGCCGGTCTCCTCTCTGCTTGTCGCTTCACTCTGACCAAACTCTTTCTAGTCCTGTGGTCTAGGTGACAGCTGATTTTTATCAGAGACCACTGCCCCACTGAAAGACTTGGGCTATTTTGGGAGGGAGTGCTGGCGGCTGCTGCAACTCGGCTGAGTCAATCGCCTCTGTTAGTCACTGAGGGACTGGGACACCCCTCCGCCTCCCATTCCCATAGCTACATCGTCACCCACTATAACGGGAACGGGGTGGGACCTGCAGTATGTCTGTCGGAGGGCATTTTGGGAGCAACATAATAAATAAACACAGTAAAAGTCCCTTTTTTGTAAAGTTGTTCACTAATAAGACAGCTGAAGACATATTAGTATTGTCACATATATGCTACTAGATTATTCTAGTGGCCTTCTAATCTTCTAATGGTCAAAATGGTCAAGCTTTGTCCCTCAATGAAGACATTTCTAGTTAAATATGTTTGCATACATTTTGGAAGAGATGTGTTTTTTTGGTTTTATTTTTGAAGTTTATTTGAAACCTAAGCTCCTATAATAAGACTATCATGAACAGTTTAGACAAGTACTGACAGTCAGACCCTTATTGACCAAAACGTCCCCAATGAAACCATCTAATACCACCATTTTCGATCCCAAAGCAATTACAGCTCTAAACAATAATTTCTGTTATATCAGGCTTTCAATTGAGAGCAAAGGATTAAAAATGTAACTGTTTATTATTATTAAATACTTTCCTTCTAGATCGAGCCATTTTTTTCAGAGTTTGTCATACGTGCTATTTTCATGGTTTCTGGTTCAAGATATCAAATGAAATCAATGTTGTTTATGTTGCTAGTCAATGGCTGACATTTAAATAGGACTAATAATAGAAAATAGTATATATAATTTTTCAAAAATATGTTGCTAACTTCTTTAAAGTGAAGCAGAAGGGTCAGTGAACTATGTGTCTTATTCACGCCAGACTCATCTCAGGGTCAAAGCGTCAACTACCGTACGCTGTCTGATATCAGTTGCTTGACACGGATAGGCATGGCTCCGAGGGCCAAGGTCTGCGTCACGGTCGGAGCCATCAGCAACAGCCTCACTCTATCTTAAGCCCAACGCATAGTTATGCCTTTACACTGCTGCATCCTCGTCTTTATTTAGCTGTTTTCCTTCAACCCCCAGGGCCAAAGAACATAGTGGTCAGTGTTTACCCAACTCTGTCAGGGTTTGTATTGTGACACTTTCAAAACACAAGGAGCTGATCCTGGCATTTTTACTCTGGTAACTTATCCCAGATTCATTGGATATACCTGACATTTGGGAATGCTAAAACACTGTTTTTGACACACGGATTAATAACACAAATGTTTACTCGCCCATAGATCAGAGAAGGCAGTCTTACTTTTCAAAACGTTTTCAATAGTGCTGTAAGGTGAGGAGGACGCACTGTGGCACCAGAATACAACAGTGATGTCATGCCTTTGAGGGAACCACCGACCCTGTATGCCCTGTCAGATCTCAGACTATCCTGAAATGAAGCACCGCTGCTCACCATGCGAGTGTCTCGATGCTCTGGCAGAAGACTCTGGGAGTCCGTTCATGGCCTTCCCTCCTTCCACCTGGTCAGCTCTCTGTGAATAAACAACATATAGTGAGGTTAGGGAATTGGGCCTGTTAAGATCTGAACCAATTACAGCTTAATGTAAAAGTTTGATATTTTGGAGAAGTAACGTTTGTTCGCTTTCTTGTTTAATATGGATATCAATACAACTGTGTCTCCCTGTTTAATATCTCTACTGGTTTCAAAGGGTGAGATTGTATAGAGGTCTATAAGTAAATGACCCGACTTCTCCCCTTGATTTAAAACCCTTTTTTAAATCACTGGTTGCTAGTCGTCTAATGGTGTCAGTAGGTAAAATAGAGGATAAAGGAGGATATGTTTTATAGCGTGGATATATTGTAATTGACGGTGTTGTTCGGTTTGTGTGGTTGTGTCAGTGTATTTTATTTGTATTTTAACCCTTTCACAGTGTGTTTTCAGTTCATGAGAGTTCAAAATGTCTTCAATGTCCATTTAAAAAAAGGGGACAATGGACAAATTGCCAAATTCCAGGTTTGAAAAGTAGTCCACAAACGAATCCAGTCTTAATGCTAAGCTAAGCTAAGCTAAGCTAAGCTTTCTAGCTTTTAGTGTACATACATGAGAGTGGTATCCATCTACACATTTCACTCTTAGAAAGAGAGCTAATAAGAAAATGTCCATAATGTTTCACTATTTGACGCTTTGACATAGGATCTAATCTAAAGGATAATATTACTTCAGTCAATTCAGTGAAACCTGATATTAAACTAAACTCACACACCTGATTGGTTGCATCCTTTAAGGAGGTGTTGGGACTTCTCCAGTCCTGCAGAGGGCAGTCTCTCTCTGTTTTACTGCCAGTGTTGAGCCGGGGGCTGCTGGTGAAGCTTTTATGAAGGCCAGCCTTGGACTCAAACAGGGCGCACAGAGCTCTGGTACCTGAAGGCTCCCTCTGAGGGAGGAAGTCCATGGAGCAGCTCCTGGACAGATTAGAGCTTCTTCCAGACCCGCAAAAGGCCAAATTCTCCACTCCAGTGTCCAGCCTCCTCAATCCACCGTCAACACAGCTTTCTGACATCTGAAAGCAGCATTTTATTTGTATGTGATTTCTGGCAATGTTTTATTGGTTGTTACATTTATCGCTCGTAATGAGTAAATACAAATGTGTATTACCTGGAGTTTATGATCCTCCTTTGCAATACTGCTCAGGTCAGCACAGCTTTGGTAACTGTTTAAACACATTTATTGACACGTGTTACAGTGTCTCTTTTGATTTGAATCCAAGAATCAGCTGTTGTGAGCAGTAAAAGTGAATGAAAATGTCTATGTGACACTTGACTTTCATCCCTTAGTCAGTGGCTACCAGAAGAGAACTGTACCAGAAAGCCCCCAATGTGTGAAGATGAAGCAGTATTTATAAACCAGGTATATTGTGCGACACTTACTGTTGCACCAGCTGAGTGACAGACTTCCTGTCCCAGCGGGTGAGAGCTGGCATGACCCATGACCTCTCCTGAACCCCAGAGAGGCTCTTCAGGGACTGGGTCCTCCTCAGGCCAAATCCTGCCATAGCAATCCCTCTCACAGCAGCTACAACAAGAGGATGTTACAGTGATGATGTGTGAAAATAAATACCTGAAGTGCCTAACTATTGTACAGTGGAAATGTTCATGAACCAAAAAGCTCTGGACAAAAACATACAAATACTGTTTCAAATAATGTTCAGTTATGAAGTTGTCCATTATTTTTGGGTCTTTAAATACATTACATATAGAAAAAGAAATGTATACCTTAGATCTTATTATTATTATTATTTTAGGCATTAATAGCCTACAATACATTTTCATGCCTGTTAAAAATGTAGAAATGCACTGAAACCACAGCTAATTGATCTTAACCCATTTGCACTACTGACCGTACACAATACCTTTTTAGGCTACGGCTTAATAATAATTTCAACTACTATATTTGATGAACAGTAATACTTTATTGAATTTTAGTCTATTTTGTATCATACAGAGCTCAGTAATTTAATTTGTACAATAATTAAAAAATGCATACCGTCCTGTATTTTGAAACAGTCAATACAAATTAAGTAAATAGCAGGCTGTTTGTAGGTAATGTACAAGTATTCATGTAATACATGTTAATAATATCTGTATGAGAAATAAAGAAAAATATCAATTAGTGATCGATTTGATCTGGACAAACATGATTACTATTAAAAGGCCAAAATTCTTGAATTCACTTTTTGGACATTTTGACTATCATTCAATTATACAGCTGACTTAACTTCATTATTATATAACAGATTGTTCCACTGACAGTCATATGACTCTCTGTTAATGTTTATGTACTTTCCAAGAAAGAGGACGCCATCAGATCAAAACCAAAAATACAAGTTCTACATTTGAAGGAGAACTATATTCAAATGTATACTCTATTAACTCGCACATATAGCAGAATACAGTTGCAATATTGCCATTGTGAATAATGTTATGCTGTTTCCTGTGAGAAATCAAAAGAATATTCAACCCCGTACCTGCAGAGAAGGAGCAGAAGTCAGCTGTGCATCTCGGTCACTTGTGGTTTAGAGCATCTCTCACAAGACACAGCAATATCTAGTGGCCAAAGTCCTTCAACACCTTGTGATTCAAAGCTTCCGGATCTGCTACCATAACATCACCTGATGCATTTCTCTGAAACACCAATACGACCCAAGTTTTATTATGCAGGGCATGTCATAAAACTACATATTTTTTCTAGTTAGGTATTTAAATACTAGTGAATTGTGATGACAGTCTGATGCATTGAGTAACCAGAGCGCAGACCTGTGGGATCTCCCAGCTGCTCGGGCAGATGTCAGCGCTCGGATGCCTTGCATAGCCGCTCTGTTACTGTATCGCATGCCAGCAGCACTTTATCTGCCCCTCACATGCTTCTCATAGCCACTTTATTAGACAGAAGAAGTCACACTCATTTACCTCACACACTGCTTCTCCTGAATGTGCTTAAACAGATGATAATGTGTTAAGTTGCTACTGTTTTTCTGCCAATATAGCATATCCAGGGCACAAGAAAATACCTTTGGCAGCATGTTTATTAAAGTCCACTGTTGCGGGGGAGATTTACAACCCTACAAAACTGTTGGTGCATGAATGACATTTACCAGTAAGTAAGAGAGAACTTTTTATATATTTTTTTCAGGAAACATGAAGTAATCATGAACTGTTTTAAGATTCGCTGGGTCTATCAGTTTACAATGCAAACATAACACTATGAAATCAAAGAATCTGAGAACTCTCAGATACACATATTTAAATATTGGTTTGAGACTGATCTGGCAAGAGTTTAAAATGCCCAAACTGATTGTTACTTCTGGCCGCCAGCATACCGGAGACAGGGAGAACAGGCTACCTTGGTTAGCCAATTCTTTATTACGCGAAAATGTGGTACTAGAGTGGGAACCTCCACAGATGTGGTATTAAGTAATTTGCCAGAAGTTTATAATTATAATTGTTTGTCTATCTGTAGACATGTTTTGTCAGAGTGATAGTGTCACAACCGTGAAAGATGCTGCAAGGGGGGCAAAGGGTTTAATGCCTCACTACTTAACCTTACTTGCCTGCCAGTAGCTTTGCCGATATCTGTGTTGATAGGTAATAGATTAAGAGCGGTGAATCATAGAAACAGGAAGCGCTCAAACGTTTGTGTGAGTGTATCTAATTTAGCAGTGATTCCATGTCAGCCACAGCTTGTTACAAAAAACATGACTGATAGTGTGTTTAACAAACTTAAACTAGCTTTATTAAATGTCAGGTCTTTGGCAGGAAAAACATTTTTAATCAATGATTTTATCACTGAGCACAATCTCGATTTTATGTTTTTAACAGAAACTTGGATTGAACAAAATAACAGTGCAGCTGTTCTTATCGAATCAACCCCTCCCAACTTTAGTTTTATGAGTCAAGAAAGAATGCATAAGAAAGGGGGTGGAGTTGCTATTCTGTTCAAAGATTCCCTTCAATGCAGGAAGACATCGTATGGAAACTTTGCTTCTTTTGAATATGTGGCCATTCAGCTGAAATGCTCCTCTCGAGCTCTGTTCCTAAATATCTATAGACCACCCAAATACTGTGCAAGCTTTTTTGATGACTTTACTGAACTGCTGTCTATAGTGTGTATTGACTTTGACCGTCTAGTCATTGTTGGTGATTTTAACATCCATGTTGACAACCCCCAGGACAGAGGGGCAAAATAACTGTTTTGTGTTCTTGATAGCTATGGACTGACTCAGCATGTGACGGAGCCCACGCACAATAAGGGGCACACTCTGGACTTAATTATCTCAAAGGGTCTGAATATCTCTAAGGTTGTGGTGACTGATGTTGCACTCTCTGATCATTCCTGTGTTTTCTTTGAGAGCTCTATTTCTGTTCACAAAATGTTCAAAAGAGATAACCACAAAGCGATATTTAACTGAAAATACTAGGGAAATGTTTACTCAGAATTTTTCTTCCACACTTGCCCCTGCTAACATCTCAGTAAATGAGCTAGTAGATCATTTTAATTCAAAAATTAAAAATGTTATAGATGCCATTGCTCCAACTAAGGTAAAGGAAGTGTCTGGCAAGAAAATATCTCCATGGAGAAAGGCCATGAGCGTGAAAACAGAAAAAAGAGAATGTCGAAAAGCTGAACGCAGGTGGCGAAAAACAAATCTCCAGGTTCACTTTGAAATCTATAAAGAGAGACTTGGCCTTTATAATTTGGAATTCAAAAACGCACGACAATCGTTCTTCTCTGACATCATTACCAAAAACAAAAACAACGCACGTGCCTTGTTTGCTACCGTCGACAGACTAACTAACCCCCCAGTGTCAGTAGCCTCTGAATTTTTATCCACCAGGGCGTGCAATGATTTTTCCTCCTTTTTCACTGACAACATTCAGAAAATCAGACAAGCAGTCAGTGACTCTGCATCAGGAACAGCAAATGTGTTGTCTCTGTGTCCACTTAACATCAATTCAGACATCATGACACAATGCCATCAGATTAATGATAAAAACCTAGAGGACATTATTCAACTTCTGAAATCCTCCTCCTGCTGCCTTGATATTATTCCAACAGGATTTTTCAAAGATGTTTTGCCTTGCATGGCCTCAGATCTACTTCATATAGTAAACAAATCTCTTCACTCAGGTATTTTTCCACAGGCCCTGAAAACTGCAGTCATTAAACCGCTCTTAAAAAAGAATAATCTAGATGCTTCAGTAATGAACAATTACAGGCCCATATCAAACCTCCCATTTCTAGGTAAAATCATTGAAAAAGTTGTTTTTCAACAGTTGAGTAATTTCTTGCATTTAAATAACTGTTTCGATGTGTTCCAGTCAGGCTTTCGTCCAAACCACAGCACTGAGACTGCTCTTGTAAAGGTCTTTAATGACATCCACTTAAACACAGACAGTGGCAGAACTTCAGTGTTAGTATTATTAGATCTCAGTGCTGCGTTTGACACTGTTGACCACAAGATATTACTAGACCGACTGGAAAACTGGGTGGGACTTTCGGAAACAGTTCTGAATTGGTTTGAATCCTACTTAAAGGACAGAAACAACTTTGTTTCTATAGGTAAATACACATCTGAGTTGACAAATATGACATGTGGGGTTCCTCAAGGCTCCATCTTGGGGCCTCTTCTCTTTAACATCTACATGCTACCACTGGCTCAGATAATGAAGAACAACAAAATAAGTTACCATAGCTATGCAGATGACACACAAATTTACGTAACAATTTCACCAGGAGACTATGCTCCAATTCAAACACTGAGTAAGTGCATTGAACAAATCAATGACTGGATGTGTCAGAACTTTCTCCAATTAAACAAAGATAAAACTGAGGTAATGGTTTTTGGAGCCAAGTCAGAACGTATAAAAGTTAGCGCTGAGCTTCAGTGTGCAATGTTCAAAACAACAGATAAAGCCAGAAATCTAGGTGTAGTCATGGACTCTGACCTGAGTTTCAACAGTCACATTAAAACTGTTACTAAATCAGCCTACTATCACCTAAAGAATATATCTAGGATTAAAAGACTAATGTCACAGCAGGATTTGGAAAAACTTGTCCATGCTTTTATCTTCAATAGACTCGACTACTGCAATGGTGTCTTCACAGGTCTCACTAAAAAATCTATTAGAAAGCTGCAGCTGATTCAGAACGCTGCTGCTCGAGTCCTCACTAACACTAAGAAAGTGGATCACATCACTCCAGTTCTGAAGTCTTTACACTGGCTTCCTGTGTGTCAAAGAATAGATTTCAAAATACTGCTGCTGGTTTATAAAGCACTGAATGGTTTAGGCCCAAAATACATTTCTGACCTCCTGCTAAATTATGAACCATCCAGATCTCTCAGGTCTTCAGGGACTGGTCAGCTTTCTGTCCCCAGAGTCAGAACTAAACATGGTAAAGCAGCGTTCAGTTATTATGCTCCAAATATCTGGAACAAACTCCCAGAAACCTGCAGGTCCGCTACAACTCTGACTACTTTTAAATCCAGGCTGAAGACTTTTCTTTTTGTCGCTGCTTTTAATTGAACTATTCATATCTTAGACTGCACTGTAACTTTTATCCATGTACTTTTTTCTTTTAATGTTTAATTGACTGCACTGTAACTTTTATCCATGTATTTTTTCTTTTTTTTTCTTTTAATGTTTATTTTATTAGCTTTTCTTTTTAATGACTGATTTTAAATGCCATTTTCTTAATCTCTTTCATTTTTTGTAAAGCACTTTGAATTGCCTTGTGTTGAAAAGTGCTATATAAATAAACTTGCCTTGCCTTGCCTTGCCTTACTTTACTCCGGAAATGGATTTCAGGGCGCCATGTTGAAGGACATCTAATTTCTTTAAATGCACATCGAGGACCGAGGAGGCTCTCTGGAGGAGCTATAACCGAGGATACACTAATGTATCCTCCGCGGATCCTCCAGTGTTACGTTATTATGAGAGTGCTCTCATACCTGTTTGAATCTGAAATTGTATATATTTATATAAATATATATATGTGTGTGTGTGTGTGTGTGTGTGTGTGTGTGTGTGTGTGTGTATATATATGTCCGCATCTGTAGCCTGTTATTGTCTCATTATACCACACTGTCAATTAATTAAAAGTAAAATTTTAGCTGGCGATAAGCCAAAATCCCCCACTTTCATCACTGACAGCGCCCATCGTACAGGGCAAATTAAAAGTGTAACTGGGGTGAAAAGGGTGTTACAATTACTTAATTATGAATGTTGTTACATCAAGGCCGAAAATTAGGATGAGCACCAACGGTCAAAAATGTGTTTTCCCTCCCAGAGCTACCAGCGCAGCGCCCCCCCCAGATCTGGCGCCCTAGGCAACCGCCTAGGGCCAAAAACCGGCCCTGTCTGTCCATCAGACAGAGGGCTGATGTGCCTCCTGTCATCATTAATGGACGTCTCTTTAAGATGACCGCTCAGAGGAGAGGATTTCTCATTTCTCTAAACGCCTGCTGCTTCCACTCCTCTCTCCTCGGTTCCCCTCCTCGACTCCTCCGCTCGCATCTCCTGTCGG